CGATACCGTTTGCGACGCAATCTACCGCCAACGAGACATTGGTGCCATCGCTAGGGGTCGTGTAGCCACTGGTGGTGACTGCTGGTGGGCAAGGCGAGAATCGGGACCGAGGCCTTCTACGCGGTTGCAGCCTGCCTGCGATGGCTCATCGGATGTGTATGTCCATGGCGATACCATTTGCGCTCAAGTTTACGGCCAACGCGCTATTGGTGCCATCGCTAGGGGTCGTGTAGCCACTGGTGGTGACTGCTGGTGGGCAAGGCGAGAATCGGGACCGAGGCCTTCTACGCGGTTGCAGGCTGCCTGCGATGGCTCATCGGATGTGTATGTCCATGGCGATACCATTTGCGCTCAAGTTTACGGCCAACGCGCTATTGGTGCCATCGCTAGGGGTCGTGTAGCCACTGGTGGTGACTGCTGGTGGGCAAGGCGAGAATCGGGACCGAGGCCTTCTACGCGGTTGCAGGCTGCCTGCGATGGCTCATCGGAAGTGTCTGTCCATGGCGATACCATTTGCGCTCAAGTTTACGGCCAACGCGCTATTGGTGCCATCGCTAGGGGTCGTGTAGCCACTGGTGGTGACTGCTGGTGGGCAAGGCGAGAATCGGGACCGAGGCCTTCTACGCGGTTGCAGGCTGCCTGCGATGGCTCATCGGATGTGTATGTCCATGGCGATACCATTTGCGCTCAAGTTTACGGCCAACGCGCTATTGGTGCCATCGCTAGGGGTCGTGTAGCCACTGGTGGTGACTGCTGGTGGGCAAGGCGAGAATCGGGACCGAGGCCTTCTACGCGGTTGCAGGCTGCCTGCGATGGCTCATCGGATGTGTATGTCCATGGCGATACCATTTGCGCTCAAGTTTACGGCCAACGCGCTATTGGTGCCATCGCTAGGGGTCGTGTAGCCACTGGTGGTGACTGCTGGTGGGCAAGGCGAGAATCGGGACCGAGGCCTTCTACGCGGTTGCAGGCTGCCTGCGATGGCTCATCGGATGTGTATGTCCATGGCGATACCATTTGCGCTCAAGTTTACGGCCAACGCGCTATTGGTGCCATCGCTAGGGGTCGTGTAGCCACTGGTGGTGACTGCTGGTGGGCAAGGCGAGAATCGGGACCGAGGCCTTCTACGCGGTTACAGGCTGCATGCGATGGCTCATCGAATGTGTCCTGTCTATGGCGATACCGTTTGCGACGCAATCTACCGCCAACGCGCTATTGGTGCCATCGCTAGGGGTCGTGTAGCCACTGGTGGTGACTGCTGGTGGGCAAGGCGAGAATCGGGACCGATGCCTTCTACGCGGTTGCAGCCTGCCTGCGATGGCTCATCGGAAGTGTCTGTCCATGGCGATACCATTGGCGCTCTAATTTACTGCCATGGCGATACCATTTGCGCTCTAGGTTACGGCCAACGCGCTATTGGAGCCATCGCTAGGGGTCGTGTAGCCACTGGTGGTGACTGCTGGTGGGCAAGGCGAGAATCGGGACCGAGGCCTTCTACGCGGTTGCAGGCTGCCTGCGATGGCTCATCGGATGTGTATGTCCATGGCGATACCATTTGCGCTCAAGTTTACGGCCAACGCGCTATTGGTGCCATCGCTAGGGGTCGTGTAGCCACTGGTGGTGACTGCTGGTGGGCAAGGCGAGAATCGGGACCGAGGCCTTCTACGCGGTTGCAGGCTGCCTGCGATGGCTCATCGGATGTGTATGTCCATGGCGATACCATTTGCGCTCAAGTTTACGGCCAACGCGCTATTGGTGCCATCGCTAGGGGTCGTGTAGCCACTGGTGGTGACTGCTGGTGGGCAAGGCGAGAATCGGGACCGAGGCCTTCTACGCGGTTGCAGGCTGCCTGCGATGGCTCATCGGATGTGTATGTCCATGGCGATACCATTTGCGCTCAAGTTTACGGCCAACGCGCTATTGGTGCCATCGCTAGGGGTCGTGTAGCCACTGGTGGTGACTGCTGGTGGGCAAGGCGAGAATCGGGACCGATGCCTTCTAGGCGGTTGCAGGCTGCCTGCGATGGCTCATCGGATGTGTATGTCCATGGCGATACCATTTGCGCTCAAGTTTACGGCCAACGCGCTATTGGTGCCATCGCTAGGGGTCGTGTAGCCACTGGTGGTGACTGCTGGTGGGCAAGGCGAGAATCGGGACCGAGGCCTTCTACGCGGTTGCAGGCTGCATGCGATGGCTCATCGGATGTGTCCTGTCTATGGCGATACCGTTTGCGACGCAATCTACCGCCAACGAGACATTGGTGCCATCGCTAGGGGTCGTGTAGCCACTGGTGGTGGGCTGCTGGTGGGCAAGGCGAGAATCGGGACCGAGGCCTTCTACGCGGTTGCAGGCTGCCTGCGATGGCTCATCGGAAGTGTCTGTCCATGGCGATACCATTTGCGCTCAAGTTTACGGCCAACGCGCTATTGGTGCCATCGCTAGGGGTCGTGTAGCCACTGGTGGTGAGGGGATCCT